AACTCTCGAAGATAGTAATAAAGAACTGGGGGAAGGTGTTACAATGTAACAAAACATCCTGCAAACTTCCGGGAGGTGCTGGTGAGTGACACTACTGTGCGGACAACACTACTACTACTACTTATTATTACTACATTATATACACTGAACAAAATTATAAACGCAACACTTTTGTTTTTGCCCCCATTTTTCATGAGCTGAATTCAACTCTATGCGAAGGAGATGTGTTGCACTGCGTGAGGCAAATGGTGGTCACACCAGATACTGACTGGTTTTCGGACCCCCCGGACCCCCCAATACAGTAAAACTGCACATTTTAGAGTGGCCTTTTATTGTGGCCAGCCTAAGGCACACCTGTGCAATAACCATGCTGTCTAATCAGCATCTTGATATGCCACACCTGTGAGGTGGCTGGATTATCTCGGCAAAGGAGAAGTGCTCACTAACACAGATTTAGACAGATTTGTGAACAATATTTGAGAGAAATAGGCCTTTTGTGTACATAGAAAAAGTCTTAGATCTTTGAGTTCAGCTCATGAAAAATGGGGGCAAAAACAAAAGTGTTGCGTTTATAATTTTGTTCAGTATATTATGCACAAAAATGTTAGTATTAATATCATATGAAATCATATGAAAATGTTAGTATTAATATCATATGAAATATTTTGTGGTTTTAAAATAAAAATCTGTTTTTGGTTTTGTTTGTTTTTTGACAAAAATGAGGTAAAAACACAAACACCACAGAGTTTTTGCCCAATCTATTCAGTTATTGATATAAAATCACTATACATGCCCTGCTGTTGTCACCCTGTTATTGTAAAAAATCTTTTTCCATGTTATAATTGAAGATTATTAATTTACAAATAAATATTTCAGTCTTTCTACTTAAAAATGTAATGTTTACTTCATATTCAATCTGTTACTTGCCATTTCTTTGTAATTACTTGTGAAAATTACTAGCAATTTCTGAGTGAAATTTAGTTTCACCACTAAATTTGATGTATACTGCACATAAAAAGGCAATAAATGATGAGATATTTTCACTGGCAATATTAATACTTATATTTAAGCAAGTTGGCAATATAACATCAGTATATACACTACTGTTTGGGGTCAGTAATTAAATAAATAAATACATTTATTTATTTAAAAAAAAATAATAATATTTTTCATTAGAAAAAACTCATTGAATGGATCAAAAGTGACATTGAAGACATTTATAATATTTACAAAAGATTTATATTTTTCTAATGTTTCTTGAGTACCAAGTCAACGTATTAGAATGATTTCTGAATGATCATGTGACTCTGAAGACTGGAGTAATGATGCTGAAAATTCAGCTTTGCCATCACCGTAATTAATTACATTAAAAAATATATTCAAATAAAAAAACGGTTATTTTAAATTGTAATATTTTACAATATTACCGTTTTAACTGTATATAACTGATCAAATGATTTCTGCCTTTGTGAGTGCAAGAGACTTCTTTCAAAAATATTTAAAATCTTACTGACCCCAAACATTTGAATGTTAGTGCAAACTGTACATAACACAATTTAATGGGAGCAAAATATATACAAATTTGCCAAAATAAAATGTAAATTTATTCACAAACAGTGCATGTCGCGATAATCTCAAAATGGCCAAATACTGGTTGACATGAAATTCACACCAACACAAAGTTAATTTATAATAATGATTTAATAAATTATGGCCTCAACACAAACAAAGGTGCAATAATAATATTCAAAAGACAGTTCTGACATGGCATTTAAAAATCAGAAGCGCACTAGCATCTAACATAAAGCAATCATTTGGACGCTTCTAGGAAAAGGAACTCCTGAGAGAATGTATAAACGTGTATGAAACTCACCCATCCCCACATGAAAGACTGACTTCTCATCTGCATTTTAGAACATAAAAATATTCTGGCATCTGTATATATGTAAATAATGCACACTGCTGATGGGAATTCCACTCTTGATTATCAGGAGCTGATGTACCAGCATAAATCTGAGCATGACTGAAGTTACACTGTGAAAGACACTCCTACATCTACAGTACATGACACATTTGTGATCATAAGAGATGTCTGAGAACTAAAGTCACACATCTGTTGTTTCCTAGAAACTGTGTTTGTTTGGAAATAAAACATCAGGATTATTACTCCAGTGAGGAGAACTACGATAACACACACTTGTATAATGTATGAAGATTGCACATTTACAAATATCTGAACAGCTCTGTTACCTAGAGTTTGAATCGCCAAGCACTGCATTCTAGGTCACTAAACACTAGATCCATTAGGAGGTAAAGAAGATAGTTGTTAGAAACTATCTTTGCATATTAAAGGAGCGTAATTATTGCATGTTTCCAAAACAATGAATGACGTGACGTGACATCGGTCTGATGCCAGAGCTGCCTGTAATGTAAGGGCTACATCAGCATTTGGTTATGGATGTCCATGAATCTGAAATCTTGTAGCCATATTCCCTCCGACCAGTCCAGGGAAATATTTAGCACTGTGATTCTAATGTACAGATACAGTTCCAGTATGTTTGTAGATGTTGTATTGGCGGATGTTTTATTTTTTGGCAGCAGGTGGCGCTCTCGGCACATGAGGATCCAGAGGACTACTGTGTGGCAGGTGATGGAGAAGGTAGAGATGAAAGATCATCTCGTTTTGCTCCTTACTGGAAAAGAGATCAACAACATGTTATTAGTGGCAGTATAACTGTCATTATATAAATAATTTTAATAACCTAGTATTTATACATTTGTAATAAATTA